TTTGTCAGTTTTTGTTTAAAAACTCGTGCGGACACGGATTGGTCTCTCTGTAGTTGCATGCATGAGCTGTTGCTGCTTACTCTCAGTGTGGTAGTTCCGTCTGATATTGGCATGTTGTGTATAAGATTAAACTTTTCGATTCAATATTCGCTCTTCAGGTCTATCTGTACTGCTACTCACTTATAAGTTCGCTGCATACGGATATTGTTAGGTATTAATTTTGGTTACTGGGAGTTCTTGTGTGATAGTTCATAGAAACCTAAGGATCACGAGACATTCAATCACAAGCTTCCAACTTGGGAAACTGGAGGTAGTCTGCAGAACGGCTTACTTTTGACCGGTTTCCTCAGCCATTCGTTTGCTACCTTATTTGGGCCTAGTATCAGTAGGAACTCAAACCCCGGTTGACAACAACTAGTGAGCCAGAAATGGCCACTGCAGTCTCATTTGTTGGTATTTTTATGTCTATTATGCCACGCATGGCATCAGTTGTCTTGACTCGGGCTTGTCACGATGGCCATTCCAGTGTGAGCTCTATTATCGTTAATCTGACGTGTTTTTTAGCCTGTCGGGTATGAATCGTTTGTGTGCCCTGCCCCTTCCCCCGACAGGACATCCCAATAGAACCGTCTTATAATACGATTTGCTTTACGTCCAATTCCAGAATGATTAGGATTAAGGGTACGGTTAAGATTAGGTTTACGCTTAAGGTTTGGTTTAGGATTAGGACATGGGAATAGATAATCTTCCTGACATTCAGCCCAGTGTCACCTAGAGTATGGGGAGGTGTTCCTATCCCCCTGTCCTAACGGGGGGCATAAATTATTTCCACCGACTGTCGTGACGCAAAATTAGTCTTAATTTGGAAGGCCGCTTGAAGGGACAGCCCGATGGCTTCCTATTGTGACTTGTATGACAGCCCCTCTCAGACTTTAGTCCGGGGGATTCACATATTTTGAGGGACCAGCGTGTGTTACAGACCTGATAATCTGTTAATATCATGTTCGGTGGGCACCTATATGGGCCACAAAATCGGTTGTTGTTTCTATCCTCCTGTACACTGCTATTTTGTTACTCGCACTTTTGTATGGTTGTACTTGCACTATTGCATGGTTGTTCTCGGGTGTACTAAACGAACCGTAATCGCTACCTGCTCACTTCCTTGACGCAGTACCTTTATATGGCAGCATTCAACGTCTTTCCTGTTGCCTAATGTTATTCCCAAAGCAATTGGCTGGCCTCTGGCGTGAAATCGAGCAGAATTCCGCCCACGTTAATGTGCGCACTTTTTGGAGCTTCTTGTTGCCCCAGCCACTTTGCCTTCATCTAGTTAGTGGTCTGGACAGACGTTCTTCTGTTTAGTTTTTGCTTACTGTCACAAGGAAAGCACTAAAAACCATTGTTGACACGGCAGTTGGCGCGAGCATTCGTACTGTCTGAGACTTCTTCCCTACCCTCGCAGTTCCGCCTCGTCTCCCAGGCACTTCGGGGGAGTTTTTAGACCGCTGCCTGATCAGACAGCCGG